AGGGGAAGATGGGGCTGGTGACTTTGGGTAGGGGAAGATGGGGCTGGTGACTGGGTAGGGGAAGATGGGACTGGTGACTTTGGGTAGGGGAAGATGGGGCAGGTGACATTGGGTAGGGGAAGATGGGGCAGGTGACATTGGGTAGGGGAAGATGGGGCTGGTGGCTTTGGGTAGGGGAAGATGGGGCTGATGGCTTTGGGTAGGGGAAGATGGGGCTGGTGGCAGGAGGTGTGAGAGAAGCAGGAGACCTCACCCTTGCTCTCACTTGCCCATAATCTTGGTTCCTTTGTCCCCCAGGTGGAGTATGGCCCCTGTGTGGTAGCCAGTGACTGCTGGAGCCTGCTGCTCGAGTTTCTACAGAATTTTCTAGGCAGCCACACGCCTGGAGCTCCCACAGTGTTTGCGAATAGACATGACGCTGTGTATAGTCCAGCAGATACCATGGTCCAGTACATGGAACTCTTCAACAAGATCCGCAAGCAACAGCAGGTGCCGGTGGCTGGGATTCGTTAGCAACTGGCAGCTGCCTGTCTGAGCTGTCATCAGGGGGTGCCACAGGAGGAGCAGGTGCTACACCTTCAGGGCTTTGGGGACCTGGAACGCAGGGTAGCCGTGGAGGCTTCTCTCTTTCCTCCAGTTACCAGTTATGGTGTTTGTTCTGGGACTCTTTTTCCCTACCCTCACACACAGTCCCCTGACAGCTCTCACCCCAAGCCTTTCTGGATTTGCCTTGTCCTGGAGAACAGTTACTACAAAGCATGGCAAAGCTTGGACATTTTCCACTTTATGGGATAAGGCGGGACACGGGTGTCTCTGCCTATGTTGGTGGGGAAAGTGGTCTGTATCACCAACTATTGAGAATTTGGCTTCAGCTACCCCTCTCCCTAAGTGGACAGGCTGCATTTTGTGTTTAGACTGTGCTATAGTAAAAACCTCTGTTTACTCAAAAGATACACTGGAGTGCTGTCCTGGAGATGGGATTGAAGGGAGAACTTATTTGAAGACTGTAAATTTTGGATCTGTTTGACATTTCTGTAGCATTGCCTGAGTCGTTTGAACTCTTTTTCTGACATCTTTTCATTCTGTTGTGAATTATTCTAAGCCATGGCTAAGCTGCTGGGACAGAGAACCAGAAGCACACCTCAGCGTGTGCATAGGCAGATGATCCAGAGCAGATTTAACCATCCAGGGTCATCAGGAAATCAGGTTCCTACTGTCTTAGTACCTAACCTCTCGGGTACTGTCCTTATCCACAGGTGAAAGCAGACTCCTCGGCTCTGTGTCTGTATTCCAGTGAGGGAAAAACAGTTTCTTCTTCAAAGGATATGACTTGGAGCTGCACAAATCATTATTGCCAGCCACTCTTTGCTGAAAGGGATGCTGGAAAACATAGCCTCTTACCTGGGTGGTTGTGTGCCCAGTTAAAACTCAGGGGATCTGTGACTAAAGGAGAAAGGGTACTATTGATGGTGGGGCAGTCATTGACTTCTGCTACCTGGAACTCAGTGGATGTAACTAGGAATGCTCTTGCCTTATTTTATAGTCAATGCCCTGTAACAGGCATTTGATGATAAATTAAATTGAAGTAAGGACTGATTCCAGAACCACTTCCAATTTAGCTAGATTAGTCATACTAGGAAGTTGATTCCACACCCCCCCCCCAAGTCTCAGCCCTCTGTATCCCTCAAAGCCAGCATTGACATTGAAGCCTTTCTGTTTCTTACGCACACAGACCTTAGGATAGATGTCAGATGCTGACACACACACATCATGCTTCCTGGTTTCCAAAGACCACATTGCCTTCCCACTCCACTTCTACATACAGAAAAGAGATGCTTAGTCAGAGGTGGTCTTTAGAGGTCCATTAAGGTATATACTGTAGTGTTTTCATCTGTAGTTAACCCCACAAAAACAGAAATAAGAAAACTGCTAGGGTCCTGCCTATATAAACCACCTTGGTGGGCAGCTTTGTCAGAGCCACACAGAAATCTGCCAGCCTTGATTGTTGGAGTTGTGCAGTATGGTAGCACTCCTGTAGTTTATTGTGCGATAGTCAGGCTCTGGCTCCTAGCAAGCTCCTGCAGAAAGAAGAGGGTGGCGTCCAGACCAGACTTCAGATCTAGGACTAATGGCTACCATCATGCCCAAGTGTCTCTTGGTACGTGCCAGGTGATTTCAGTTAGAATGTGGGATATCTTTTATATTAGAACTTGTGTCTTATTTTAATGTATTAGAGAGTAAATATAACTGGCATTTTACACCTGAGGATGAGGGTAAGAAATGCTGTTTGACCAGGTGTCCAGTCCAATTTTTGTACCCATTGATGATTTCTGCTCTATGTTTTCCTATCTCCCCAGTGCTATTCTGATTCTCTGTATCCCTGGTCCCATGGTGCCCCCCGCTTGCTTTCATTGGATCTTGAACCCAAGCAGGAAACTTAAGTTCCAGGAAATCAGATTACAGCCCCCCCCCCCCCCCCCCCCCCACACACACACAGTTATTTACTGGTGTCACTGCTTCACTGAAGGAATTACTTAGAAAATGAGTACTCCTCCCGCCAACCTAGGTGTGAAGTATTCATTCCTGGGACTTCAGAGTGAGGCAACTCCAAATCCTGGAGGGTAAGTGGAGTAGTTAGAAATTGCCACTTAAGCATGTCCTCCAGGTAGCAAAAGTTGATATTCTTAGCTATACAAATATATAGAAAGTCAAAGGACTGGATAGTTTTGCGGACATTTGCAGTAGCTACAGAACCAGGCAGGACTGATGTGTGACCTTTGTTTCTAAACCAAATACTGCTTTTCCTTCACCAGTCTCTCTTTATCTGTTGCTGTCTAGGTGCCTTAATCTGTGGGCCCTGGTCACTGTTTCCATGTGGAATGGTTTAACCAGTTGTATCACAAGTTTGGTCCTTTGGGGTTTGGTGTCTTTGTCCCTTAAGCAAGCAATCACTCTTGGAGGTGGGCTGACTCAATGACAGTTTCTGTTATTGTGTAGAGCATTCCCAAATCAGTCTTGGGTTAGAAAGGACCCAAAGGCCACCTAGTTTGACCTTCAGTACTCAGTCTCTTATAAACTCTTCCTACAAAGAGGCTCTGCAACTTTGGCTTGGTTTTATCTGGGGAAGTCCTTTTCTTGTGTATGCAGTCTTTTCTCACTAACCGTGGGACAAAAGTCAAAACAAAAATTTATTTGTTCTTACTCAGATTGTGGAGACTGCTTATATGAGGCAGCTCCAGAAAGTTTGCGGAAAAATGGAATGAGATGATGATGGAATTTTTCCACGACCTTTTTGAAGCCCTCTTGTAGTGTTGTGCCTATTGAAGGAGTTTATTGTCAGTTCATTACGGAGGATGACAAGACTATAACTCTAAAACAGGCTGCTTAACCTGTAAGGTATAGACTACGTAGTTGAGTTTGAGAGGGCTGGGATGCCCTGAAACTGGACTTGGAAGTTTGTGAATATATGGTTTCTTGGGAATAGGATTTATAAGTCTAAGAAGACATCTCCAAAAGGAGAATGGGGCCTGAAGGAGAAACAGCAGCAAAAGTTAACCATGTTGGAAGTATGTCCAATTGGCCTCTGGTGAACTAGACATTCTTCTGCCTTTTAGACACTATACCTAGGTCCCTATCCAGGGGATTTCCCCCCTTCAGTCAGTTTCTGGGAAGATGGGCCATGTTCATGCCCTTATCTTTCCTACAAGTTTCCCTACCTCCTTTTCTCTCCACACACACACACCCTTTTAGACGTTGTTGTTAAGTGCCGTCAAGTCAATTCCGACCCATAGTGACGCTATATAGAGTTTCTGAGGAGATGCTGGTGAACTTGAACCACCGACCTTGCAGTTCAAACGACTTTGCAGTCTGATGCATTACTCCATAGCGCCAGACATGGATAGTATTAAATACATATGAAGCAATGTGCCTCCAGTAGTTATGTTTCCATTCTGACACATTCCATGGGATCTGAAAATTATTCTTTTATAATGGAATTTGGCATAATGAGTATATTTTCATAATGAAGCGATTTATGAGAAATAGTTAATTGCCTCTGTTGTAAAATTAGCAAGTAAAAAAATAATTCTTGGGATCATTAGGGGAAAGTACCTAATTCTCTTGCATTCTTTTCCCCCCCAATACACCCTTGTCGTCCCCCCACCCCTGCCCCCAATATAGATAGCATTATTATTGTTAGGCACCATCGGTTGGTTTTGACTCATAGTGACCGGGTGCAGAATGAAATACCAAAAGCATGTTGTCCTTTCCCAGGGACTGGCCCCTCCTGATAACATATCTGAAGTATGAGAGATGAAGGCTTGCCATTCTGGTTGTACTTTTAGTACAGATTTGTTTTTTCTTCTGGCAGTCCATGGCACTTTGAGTATTCTCCAACACCATAATTCAAATGCATTGAGTCTTCTACAGTTTTCCTTTTCCATTGTCAAACTTTCACATCCCTGTATAGTGGTCTTTATTATGTGCTTTAGAGATGTTTCATCTCATAGTGACCCTGTGTGGTGTTTCTGAGGAGAAACTACTGGGTTTGCATATGGGCAATCGAAAGTCCGTGGCTTGGGTCAGGCATATCTTAATTCTCAAAGTGACATCTTTGCTCTTTAAAACTTTAAAGAGATATTTTGCAGCACATTTGCCTAATACAATACATTATTTGATTTCTTGACTGCTGCTACCATGAATGTTGATTGTGGAACCAACAAAATAAATAAAATCTTTGTGACAATTTTAATCTTTTCTCCATTATCCAGTTGTGAGGATTTTCATTTTCTTTATATTTAGGTACAATCCAAACTGAAGGCTTTGACCATCACTTATCTGTCAATTTGTCATACTGTGGTGGCTTGGGTATTGCTGTGATGCTGGAAGCTATGCCACCGGTATTACCAGCAGGGTCACCCATGATGGGCAGGTTTCAGCAGACCTTCTAGACTAAGAGACTAGGAAGGAATGGAGGCCCGCTTCTGAATGGTTAGTCACTGAAAACTTTATGAATAGCTGTGGAACCAGATAGCATAGATCAGTTTTTAAGGTGGACTCCTGGTGTGACACTGTAGGATTGGCACTGGATTGCAAACTACAAGGTCGGCAGTTCAAACCCACCAGCTGCTCCTTTACAGGGCCATTATGTGTCGGAACTGACTCTACAATACTTAATAACATCAACATTCTTAAGGTTACTATGAATGCTACTGAATATTCTTTGGAAGCTTTTTAAAGGAGAGAATTTAAGGACTTCATTTATAGAGTTTAGATTATCCCAGAGGTAGATGTTACAAGTGGAAATGCTTTGTTGTGAAAGGCAAGGTTGGAGATGTGGCAGTGCCAGGTGTTTTGAGGCAGCCTGCTAGAGGGGCTTTAGGAGACCAGGTGGGTGGTGGCCACAGCACTGACCTGATTTGATAGTAACTTCAGTCAGGATGACCTCTCTGTGTCTTATCTGTAAAGTGGGAATAACGTTACCTACCTTGTAGCACTGAGACCAAAAAAAATTT